GAGTCGCTTGTGGTTATTCTAACCAATTACACTTGTACAGCAATGTACAGATACAGTTGAATGTCATAAAATCAATACAAAGAACATCATGTATAATGCAGTAAACAAAGAGAAAGTGAAAAAAGACAGGGATAGAATTGGTGCTGACTGAGAGTCAGATTGTTACGGTGGGGAGAAGGTGTGAAAACAAAGTGAGTGATGACAGAAAGAAAGAGCCAGAGCGAGACGGAGTGAGAGGAAAAGGAGACAGGGAGAGAATTATTGAGAGAGGAGGAGATTGAACATGGTGATAAGTGCTACCTTTGACTTGGAGTGAGCTCTTGGTGGACCACAAGTGCAGCTCAGCCAGGCAGAACGCCATCTGACGGAGGAGTGTAACCTGAGTCTGCAGAGAGGGGACAAGTGAGAGAAGGAGAAAGAGACAGGGCAAACCAAACACAACCGCAGATGTATATCTTGATGAGACAACATAATAGATTGACATAAACAGGCCTAAGGGTCAAGCAAAGCATGCATGTAGACACACGTGCTCAAATACACACAAACTTGTATGACCGCCAGTTACACCCTGAATGTATACCTAGACTGGCATTATCCCTGATATCCCTCTGTGGTGAAAGTATAGCACAGATGACAAAGCACGGCAAGGTAGGTTTGAGACGAAGTGTTGATGGTGTACAATGAAAATATGATCAAATTACCAGTTAAATGCAAAAAGCATGTACAGTAATGACAGACAGCATTGGCAATGTGAACGAACCTGGTCAACATTTGCCAATTAAAAAGGAAAATGTACTTTTTCCTGTTTTTGTTGTACTATTTTCTAGAGTTTAAATTTTATTTTCAGTCTTTTTTTCCCCTTAGTGGTAGTAGCAGCCATCGCAGCAGTAGCAGTGGAGTCGTATTAGTAACGGTATACGTAATAATAGTCGCAGTAGTCCCTTTCCTTAAAAATGTGATGCAGCGCTGCAACATAATACTCTTTTGTAGCACCACTTCCTGTACCTGTTATACCTGTATTACTAGTAAGTTGGAATAATAGGAGTGGGGTTACTCTATGAATCCAAATTTTGAACAAAATACTAATTTAAGACAATGTAAAGCAAATGACAGACAGACATGCACATGAACTCTGACTGACACGAGACAAGGTCACAGGCGGCGATGCTTGCACCTTTATTCACACATCACAGGTCAGCAGTGATGGACGCACACAGACAGCTAAGACAAAGATCCAAGCATTCGCTGGCTATCCTTCCTTTATTACTTCATTCTCCAGTCGGTTAACCTCTATTCCTGAAGGGTTCCCCTGTAGTATGTTTATTACTGTATTTAGCTGCCCGTTTTTGTTCTATGTGTGTGAGCAGTATCCTGACTGTGACTTGAACCAATTAATGATGTTTCAGCAATAAAGAATTTCCTACTGTGGAATCATTAATTACAACTACTGTTACTTTTACTTCAATTACCACTTTTACTAGCCATTAACCAATACTATAACTACTGTCAGCATTACCACAACTAAAACAATTATTAAAACTAGAGCATCACCACTACTGACACTTTCACTGTACTCTTACTACTACATTTCTGTTAATAATGTTAATTATGGTTCCATTATTGCTACTATTCCATATAAAAAAAAATGTGTATTTGTATGCCAACCCTACAAAAAGGCGTGTTCAATGTTTTTTATTTTTTGGGGAATGTTATCAGTTGTACGTAATTTTTTTACGTCCCTAAGCAATCTGAAGTTGTATCGACAGTGAAGATTGGCGTTTAATCTCTTAAATTGCATATATTTTAACCCATACAATTAAAGCAACTGAGTTAGATTAGGCTAATTTCACATTCAACTCATCTTTAAAATGCATATAACAAAGAAGGTTTTTGAGTTTGTCTGATTAACCGTTCAGTGTTTAAGTTTTAGTGGCATTTAGTGGTCAGGGTTGTGAATTGCAACCAAATTGCTCACTCACAGCTCACCCCTACCGTTTCCAAGCGCGTAGTAGAAGCTATGGTGGCCGACACGCTCTCTCGGCTCATGCTTAATAATATGTATGGGCCTCTATTGTCTAAATTTCACGTCACTTCTGATAAATTCTTCTTCTTCTTCATAGAAATGTATGGCGGCGTGACGTGGTGACTATGTAAGGGGACCCGGCTGGTGCAGAATCTCTGTTTAGTGTAACAAAGTGCATCAGTATTGCTGCATTGGCCATTCATTTCTCTGTCTGTGCAGCTAATGCTCTGCGTCTCTCCACCCTCTCTCCCTCGCTCTTATTTTCTCTCTTTAACGCTGAGAGGTGGACTCTCTCTTATCTTTCCCCTCTTGCACCTCCTGGTGTGTGTGTGTGTGTGTGGGGGGGGGGGGGGGGGGGATCTCATTTTGCCACTCAACCTCCAAAACTACAAGTCCCAACAAAAATACACAGATAACTCCGGATGCCATGGAAACACAGGGGCTAGCATGGTATGGCGGCAACAGCGTAACGAGTTTACTGACATAAGAGGATTCTTTCATCCTCTCCTAACCAGCTTTTCTTTTCTTTTTTGTTTTTTTTAGAGTAAGTCAGCCCTTTTTGGAGGGAAAACCTCATTTCAGTCAGCTTTCATTCAGTTATCACCCGTCTGGCTAACCTAAAAGTTATTGAGACCTTTTTCTGCACAGCTGTTGGGGTCTAAGGGAATTTAGGGCAGAATAGAAGAAACAAGGGGGCCAACATAGATGGAGAAATGCAGGAGCAAATTGGGTGAGTTTGTTTTGGACAAGAATGATATACACACACACACACACACACACACACACACACACACACACACACACACACACACACACACACACACACACACACACACACACACACACACACACACACACACACACACACACACACACACACACACACACACACACACACACACACACACACACACACACACACACACACACACACACACACACACACACACACACACACACACACACACACACACACACACACACACAGTTCTGCCAAATTAGTAAATGTAAATGCCTTGCCTTTACCCGACACACATCGTCATATCCTCCTCCATCAAACTTGCAACACCAAAAGTAACACTCAGACAAGCACAAGTATTACCTCAATGTTTGCTTTTTATAGACTTGCTTTTTAAAGAATGCATTCAACCCGATTTCTTGCTCTTCACATTCATATGAAAGCATGTGCATACATTGACACAGGGACACATGCACGATACCACCCACACTGAGGTAACTGAGAGTCAAGAGCTTTGTCCCATGATGGCATAATTTGAGGGCAGTAGTATATCTGGTACTTAGTGAAGTGTAACACTAAAATGTGTGAATACGATCACCTGTAATTTTAAAATAGTAAAAAATTATTGTATGAAGCCTTTAAAAAACATTTCATTGAAAGCTACAAGACAAGTACAATGACACACACACACACACACACACACACACACACACACACAGGTCCTGGACAGCTGCCACACTCATTCTGACTTCTGGTTGGGGTTGCTGTGGGTTACCTGTCCCCCCGCAGAGCTTTGTGGAGGTGTACAGCCAGTGTACTGAGGACTGTGTGGGGGTGGGGGGTGGGGTCTAGGTTATTGTACCCTGTCTTTACACTAGTAAAGAGGCTGCTTTAACATCAAAGGAGGGGAGGGTAAACATACGACTCCTCTTTCAAAGGCAGTCCACAGGAACTACGACCTTGTCTGCTCCCTGCATCTCTTTCTCTGCTCTTCTTTCGCTGTCCCCTCTGGGTGGTTACTGAGTGTGAGACTAGGTGTGTGTATGTGTGTGCAAAGAGGAACAAGAGTGACAGAAAGTGTCTTTGATATGATATGCTTGGACAGACAGAGAAAGTCAAAGACAGAACTTAGAAAGTAAATATTTATTTGAGACGGCTTCTGTCAGAGTGAAAGAGAAACAATGGAAGCCTTTCTAAGATAGCTGGATTGCAGTCCTGTCCCACCTACAACTCGTTCTTGCTCTCAACAGCCCCAACTCAAACAGACATTTATTTAAGCTAACAGAATCGAACATTGAGCTATTGTTCTATACATGGTCTGAGTGTATACATGAAAAGAACATGTCTGGCTACAGTGGGTATCCAGGTGGATTTATGGCACAAACGTTGTTCTTTGTTTGAATCTGTGGCCGTTCCACATCCTGGTGGAGGAATGACGCGTCCTGACCTTTCTATAGTAGAATAACACCATCTAAATAACAACAATAGAATTGTGCATGTGCACACCTTCGCCTCCCTTCAGAATGATTTAATGTGCATCTGGAACCATTTTAAAATACACACATTTTTGATTGTTCAGACTAAAGTAAGAGCAGTATTTCCTGGGCAAATAGAAAAATAGACCACAAACGCTTCCCAGTGTTAAGAAATCCACAAACAATCATGTTTTAAACCCAAAAACTAACACAAAGAGATGCCAGCATTAAAACTACAAGATGTAAACTGATGTATTAAATCTGGACATTTTCAAGAAAATATGTTTAATGTACATTTTAAACAAAGCTATTTGAATTAATTTGGATGCACTGGGAGTGTCTTTGATTTCACTCTGTTGTAAAGATTATGGAGAAACCAAAGCAAGTTACTTTGAGAAATAAGATGAGATGATGATGATGAGAGGAAAAAAATAGAGTTGGTGTGTTTAAGACATCTGAAATCTCTCATTGACTTTGCCCACTTAAAACTCTCCTTAGGCCGAGGTGAGAGGAAAATATACGTTGTTGGGTTGGAGGATGTGGCTCTGGCTATGCAAAGAAAAGCCTACAGATGGGATGACCCGAGACATTTTGTTACTTTTAATACTTTGTTGGCACCGCACAGACTTGGTTTGAATTGCTAATGCAGATTACTCTTTAACCAACATAACTTTGGGGTACTTACTGTAGTGTAGTTGATGTTACTGCAGTTTCCACTAAAAAATTGCAGGGTTCATTAGGGCCTTGGTCCAGATCTGCTTCACTGCAACAAGAGAGAGACAGGCCTGAAATGAAGGCAGGCTCGCAGACATTTTGTTTGTCATCTCAAGAATCCTTTCTCACATGTATACACTTTTTCTAACACACACACACACACACACACACACACGTGCACACACACACACACGCCAGAGGCAGTGCTGTCAGCTGATGCAGTGGTCCCATCACTGTGAGAAGAGTGATGGGGTAAATTACAGGGAGAGCTGCCATAGGGTGACTGACACAAGGCCATCACAGCCTTGCTTAGTTCCCCCCCGCCCCCCAAAAACAAACACACACACACACACACACACACACCTCCCCTCTCACCTGACTCTGTGTAGGTTTGTCTGTCAGTTCTCTTTTTCCCCTCATGTACCTTTACTTATCATCCCTTTGCCAACGTGTCTCTAACCTTTTATTCCCCCCGCTTGTCTTCCATGTTTGTCTGAGGTACCTCCTATTAGAAATGCATTAAGCTTTCTGACCCTGTCTGCAAGCTTTCTTTGTCTTGTCTCTCTCAAAGGACAGTTTTTCAGTGCGTCTGATTTTCTCTTTTTCTCTTGCAGTTTTTACTCTTACTCTTTATTGTCTCATCTCTCGCAAACGGGACAAAGTTTAAAATTTTCTGACTCGTAACCCCACAACCTTTATCTCTCGCAGACGCCCTCTCTCTCTCGCAGCTACAGCCTGGTCTAGTTTTGGCTCTCGCAAAGAAATTTGGCAAAATGAAGAACATACAAAGAGCGACAAGAAATTATATCCACGGAGAGAGATAGGTAGGGTAACAAGTGTGTAATTTTGAATGCGTATTTTACAATCTCAGGTGCCTTGGAGTCCCTGCCTCGGTTTTGGTCACAGACTACATGAACACATACACTCATTCAGTAAACACACTCAGGCACTCAAGTCAGTGCTTCATCGCATACACTCCAATCTCTCAAACTTCTGATATGCGAACTCATACGGCACACAAGCGCATACGTATGCATGAAATATACAGTATGATGCATACTCTCCTATCTTTAAACCATACCTGAGGAAATGTACACATGCACACATTTACATACATATGAAACCATGCGCACAGACTCCCACAAGCTCTTATCTCCAGTTTCTTCTTGAGGGAAAAGCTTCCACAGTGTCATATCAGAGCAAAGGCAGGTGGACAAAATCTAAAAACAACCTGCCTGTTAGTGAGATAATGAAGTGAAAAACCGGATAAAACAATGAATCCAAGCTCTGAAAGGAGTCTAATGTCCATCATGGGAGCGCTGTGACCACAGAGACAACAGATAAGACGAGTGTCTGTGTGGTAGAGAAGAGACTCGTGCAAACTCTCAGGAGAAGACACTAAACATAAGGTCACATCTAACATGCTGCAAACCACACACATGCTTCATTCATGTAAGGAGCCTTAATAATGTTGAAAAATATTGGTAGTGCAAAAAAAGTTTATATAAAAATAATAAGTAAACTAGTCTTGTGGGTGATTGTCCTGTATCTGACTAATTCTTCCACCAAAAACTCCTCCCTATATGTCACTTTTATTTACTACATCACCTGACTCCCTAACGGCTTTGTTGAGTTTACCAGTTTTTCAAAATAATTTGTCACTTTATAAAACAACAAATTTAATCTTGGTTTTCTCGTCAGACGACTGCAGAATGCCTTTCAATTCAACGAGTCAATAATATTTTCAAGTGGCTCCCGGTACACCTGCCACAACAGAGCTGAGCACTACTGTACCGAATCAAATCCGCATATGCAAGAGTTCACAAATCTAGGGGGACCATCTAGACCTCTCAGTTCTGGAACGTGATGATTTTCAGGCAAGATCTGGAGTTAAATGGAAGCTTTTTAACAAGATTTATGGACAATTATTCATGATAGAAATGTGAGATAATTAAAATAGATTTTAATGATTTTGACTGCAACAGTGCAAAATTGCAGTTTTTGAACGCTAAAGGTTTTAAAGCACCTTAATTGCCTCCATGAACTGTTTGCCATAACCAGTGCTGCAACTGTGAACCAAACTACAATAACTCACTTTCTGTTTTTTCAGATCACCAACATGCACTCGTCCATTTCACCTCACGCAGGATATCTGCACCTGTGGTGTTAGTTAAGGGATCAAAAAGGATGTGGTGAAAATTCCCATGACTCATACTGATTTCTGTGCAACCTGAGTCGCAACTTCTCATACTACTGCATCAATCTCATCCATGCATGTGACCATTGTTCTGTGGCTATTTTTCATGAATGTAGCTAGATAGCTACGTAGGAAGATGGTATTCCTCTTCTTATTCCTGCCTCCCGAACTATCGGCTATTATCAACTATTGACTATGTTTAGTCAATCGTTTCTGCAACTGGGGTAAACTGTCGTCAATTGGCACAACAATGGATAGGGATATTACGATACAACAAATGTAGTCAATACCGATACCAGTAAAATTCCACGATTGACACAATGGTAAAAAAAACAAAACAATACACTCTTTCAGTAAAAACATTTGAACAGTGATTTGATGTAAATATATTCATAAATGAACAAGACTGAAATTACAACCTTGCATTGTGCATATTTAATTATTAAATGAATGACTTAATTTTCTTAACTTTTCTACACAATCAGTCAGGAGTGTCATGTTTATGGTCACTATTTATATTGGCAGTTTTTATATTGAAAAACAAAAAGTTATTGATGATTGAAATGGATCGTATTGCACTTTTGAGACAGCCCCTTACTCCGCCTACAGCAAGAGGCGCGTTGGACACATTTAGTTCTTAGCGCTTCAAACAGCATCATCATCTTTGGTGATTTTCAGGTAAACTGTGAAATATTTGCATAAATTAGCTCTCTAAATGTGATAAATCAAGGCTTTGACGTGGACCTTTTGACGGGAACAGCCGCAAAACTAACTTCACCCCGGTTTCCATTCTCTATTCTAGTCGAAGAGTCGAGGCGGAGCCGTCGCTGCAGCTGCACTTCGCTCTGCGCCATCTTCCAGGTGTTGGACTAGGGGTGGGAATCACCAGAGGCCCCACGATATGATATTATCATAATACTTATGTCACGATACGATATTATTGCGATTTTAAACATATTGAAATTTATTGCAATATTTTATCTTTTTCCCAAACTTCAAATTGTGTCCCCAAAGGAAAACTCTTTTTCTAGTGGACTGAAAAAGCAATTTTATTAGTGCCAAAAAAAAAAAAAAAAAACTTCTCATGTACAATTTATATAATAAAAGATCGATACTTGACGTTTGTGTTTCGATACGATATTGCCTTGCAAAATATCGCAATACTATGCTGTATCGATTTTTTCCCCACACCCCTATGTTGGACCCCTGATACCTTCGGTACCTAGCAAAAGGGTTAACATGTTAATGTGAATTTTCGTATCAACGAATCGGTTCTCGTGCCATCCCTAACGCTGGACCTACTACACTGTTTTGTGGATGTGTACAGTGGGGTGTAATAACCACAACTAGGGGGTCATTAGTGGGGCTGAGGGGTTCTAGTCCAGCTCTATTCGTCTCCATCCTCTGTCCCTTACTGTCTGTCACTCAGTCATTCTACTTCACTGGTTTTGTTGAGGACCTAAGGCGTTACAGAACTCGACCTGCTTAGAAGAGAAAAAGAGGGGAAGAACTTAAAAAAATTTTTTTTCCAGAGTGAAAGTGCTGTGAGGCCTGGCGGCAGCATACCACACACACGCACATATGCAAGTACAGTGTTTCTTCCCAATTGTCCCGTTACAAGACAGAGGGTTTGGTGGAGGGTGGGCAAAGTGGCGCCAGGAAGCAGGTCAAAAACTACACACACACACACACACACACAAAGTCCCACAGGAGCCCATTCAGCTGTCGGCAGAAGAAGAATAGAGGTGATGGACAGGCAGAACAAAATGAGGTAAAGGTAATACTATTGAAGAGAGATGACAGGTACACTCACTCAGTATGCATGTGCATATGTGTGTGCGTGTCTCAGCATTTTACAGGACCTGTCAATCAGCAAGAAACTGAAGCTGGAGTGACATGACCGCTGGGCAAGTCTCTCTATCGAGTGACGTATGGGAGTATGTGTGTGTCTTAAGAATATGTATGTGTATGTGTGTAGATCACTTAAAATAACATTGAAGGTTTGGAGGGCGTGTGCAGGTGAGGAGTTGAAGAGTTCAGGTGGCTTTCTGCCTTATAGTGAAAGATCTCACAACAAAAAGAAAGAAACGCAAACTAAAAACAAGTCTGACCACAGTTATCATACAAGTGGTCAGATAAGGAAATACTGGGAGTGGGGATAACTACTGCTATATACTTGCAAGTCCATATCTAATACAACGATTAATCTACAATTTGCTGATTATTTGTTTTGTTTATAAAATGTAAGAAAAGAAAGATATTATAACTTCCAAGTGCCCAAGGTGGTGTCATAGTTCTTTATCCGATCACCAGTCCACAGCTCAAAGATATTCAGTTTACTCTCATTTATGACAAAGAAAAGCAGCCATGCCTCATTTTAAAGGCTGAAATAGACAATATTTGGCATTTTTGCTAATAAAAAATGACAGTGAATCAGTTAGCAAAATATCTGCAGAATCATTTTCTGTCAATTGACAAAACAATTCATCAACTAATCATCATTCAACTCTGCAATTCAGTTTGCAATGGAAAGGCGCTATTCTCTCTCTTGAAAATTACAAAATACATTTCATCTCATCAGACTGTCCAATTGCGGACTGCGATGCAGATGTCATGACGGCAACAGTTACCTACATAATCACTTCCTCTTTGGGTGGTTTTGCCAAAATGAAAGCGCAAGACCTTTTTTTGCAGCAATGCTTTATTTCGAGTTAAACTGAGAGCTTTTACTTTGAAAAATTCTGAACTACATTGAAAAGAGTCTATAGCCTGCTTGACACACCATCAGAAAATGTGATTCCCCTAAAAGTTCACTGCCTGAAGATACTGGGGAAATGAAAAGTGTCTGTAGG